GTTTTTTTGCTATCCCTATCTGTACATGTATAATTTAAGCTCCGATAGCTATGCTGTTAAAAATTTTTTATATACTGATCACATACTAATCATGCCGAAATCAATTGGTCAAATAGACTCCAGTAAATTTTTTTAGGGTCACCAAGAATTTATGAAAACAGCTATAATTCTGGGACAATAGATAAAAATTTGGCTAGCATTAATTTGGCTGAATCTGATAATCTCAAGTATATAAGCATACCCAAAATAAAAGTTTATATGTATGGGATCAAAATTTATCGTATTTAGCAGAATTAATGCTGGCCAAATTTTATCTGTTGTCCAGAATTTATGAAAACATCTGTAGTGGCCGAGATAGGTTTAGACACTTGTTTCTTGAATTTTGGTTTTTCACTTTTTTCATATTAATCAAATAAACAATTTTATCCGACATATCTTATGTGAACACCAAACTATTTTGGTGTAAGTAATTCGGCCACCTCTTAATACAATACACAAATTTTTATCACCTCTTAATAAGAGGTGAATGAAAATTTGTATATTTATATTAAAAGAAGGCCGAATAAGTTACACAAAAATCATTCGATGTTTACGTCAGACATGTCGGATAAGCATATTATTGGTCAAATTGTAGCTGATAATCGCTGATTTATTCACAGTAGATACTGCATTATGACGTGACCTTCAGCTACATCATAAAAACAGTATCCTAGTGAATAATCAGTTATCATCCACAACATGACCAATAACAAGTACTTATTGGCTCCATATCACGTGAATTGAATATAGCTTTAGATCTTCCCCAGAGACCATCTACGGACAGGTAGCTCTAATTTCCCCTACTACTTCTGATTGGACGCAGTAAATATGTCTCTGATTGGCAAAAAATTATGTTATTTACAATATTAAAAAAAAAAATAGCGCTACTAAATTACTAAGTCAACGAATATAATGATAAGTACTTCAGCCTTTTGAATTATAAAATAAACAAATACTATACAAGCTCAAATCTCATTATTTTTATTGGGCTCATTATTTTATTATTTTGAAATTTTATTGAATTCAAACATTAAAAGTTTATGTAGAATGCATTCAATTTATGAGCGTTAAATATTAATCTGCTAAAGTAATTTTATACATGCGATTTTATACATCTATATGTGAGTTTTTTTTTTTTATAGATTTCTAGTTACCTTATAAAATTTTGCTTGAGAACATGCTGCAAAAAATACTAGTTAACAATTTTTAAACATATATGTACAAAAAAAAAGATTAATACTTATTTTGTATTATAATTTTCGTATTTGGTGCTATTTGAATTCTTGAATTATTACAATTGGTAGCTTGAGAAACAGATTTTAATCGTACAATTCTGGCTTTTCTATTAGAGTAACTTGCTAAAGAGCCATTCGTAAATTGTAAATATCTTCACCTTTCTTATTTTTCCATTCAGTAATATAGCAAGATCTTCCTGCAATTTTGCAAACTGAACGTCCTTATTATTTTTTGGGTCTGCAAAAGAAATATGAGAATCAGAAAAATCTGATTCTACGAATAGCAGTTGATCATCCTCTATATACTCATTAAGTACATCATTTTGTGCTAACTAGAGTTGTTAATGGAGTACTCCAAGCTATAATAAAATATATAAACTACTCCAGTTTAAAACTGAAGTGGTTTATATGTTTTATTATAACTTGGAGTACTCTATTAACAACCCTAGTACTAACACAGCAAATACATGCTTGCATAGTAATTGTTGTGATTGAAAATTACGACAATTACAGATATAAGAGGCAATATCGAAGTTATTTTCATTGTTTACAAGATCATTCTTTCTAACTGAGTACTCAATGTCATCATTTGTTAGAGAATGTATTATCCACATATCAGACTGGATGTTGAAAATATTATTTCTGTTAATGCGTGTAGCTCCTGCAAGTTTTCTAATACATTGCTGATACTGTTGCTGACTCATTCTACCAATTCTTAGTTCATTTTGAAAAACTGAAAAATTTATGTTATGAAGCACAACTGCCACAAGAAGATGCACTTCACCATCAAGTCATCAACCTGTAAAGATGGAAAATATTACAATTAAAAATATAAATTAAAAAAAACAATAATAAAAATAAAAATAAAAAATAAGAAAAAATATAAAAATTAAAAATAAATATAATCGTATCTCTTTAAGTATATATTATAATAAAAAAGAAAAAAAAAGTGTGCACTTAGAGAAAATGCATATATTGTATAAATTATAACAGGTGTGTTAAAATATACCTGGCTGTTCTCTCATGTAAGCATATTTCAGTTTATGATAGAACGCTTCAATTAAGTTACTTGTGTCCATTATATCTCTGGCGGTTCCTCTAAAACAAGCCATCCACATTTCATACTTTGGCTTCTACCAACGTTCAAAGTAATTGGCAAAATTATTTATTGCCTCGTCGTTCATTCTTTTTCATCGATTCATCATACCCATAATCTGCATTTGGGCTTCTGTATCAATCTATCTTTCAGTTTTTAGCAATCGTCAGATGTCTTCCCCAGACAACTTCTTTTAGTAGATTATTTGTGCCACTTTTATGATATAGTTTTCTGTGCCAGGCTCACAAAACATGAAAGTGGCCCAAAAATACAGAACTGTTGGAAAAACTCTCCTGAGATGCTTTGATTTCTTCGCCAGCATCATCTACTATGAAAATGTCTGGTTCCCATCTTTCATTTTCATATTTTAAGAAATCAAACCACTCTAATAATATCACTTCCTACTGCTGGATACTGTATGATAAGAGCAGTATCATTTATCACCTTATTATTTTTTATCAGAGGCTTACCCCCCCTCCCTTTTTTAATATAAAAAAAATCAGGTTCTTATATATAATTTTAATATTTTTTACCCCTCCC